AAAGATGAAAATCAGGTCCGTATGAATCCAATCCAGCGCTTACCCAGAAGGGCTATGAGTGCCGTTTTCGCATTTTGCGTTGATTCGGTATAAACGGCGAATCACTTTTTAAATTATTGCCACCGAATATTAGAGCCCTGTGTAATATTTAAAGAAATTAAATAATGAAGAATCTGCATAAATGTATGTATGTTTCTCGCACCGTGGTAAAACAACGGCACCTAGAGCCATACAATTTTGAATAACGTAATCTTCCACCACCTGGAAGCCCTATAATTTCGAATTTGAAACTTGTTTTATTATCCATTTCATATTTCGTAACACTTAACGAAGTTTTGATTAAGAAACTCAACGATTTCAAAGCGAGCAATGACAACACTGTACAAGGAGGGGGGAAATAAAATACAAGTCCTCCCAAAAAATGAAAATTTTCTGATTTTAAATTACGTCCAAAGGGGCTTTTTTTTTAACGTTTTGTGTGTTACCTTTATTTAATAAATATCATGTTCTTTGCACTTAAACCATAAAATTCAGTTCGGTAGCAATGTCCCAAAATAATTTTAAAATGAGCCTATCTTTATAATTACTGATACACAGTTCCGCGCCCGCTGGAGATAAGGGTTTTTTTTTTTTTTTTTTTTTTTTTTTTCCTTCCCCTCCCCAGCCGTAGAGTGTTGCCATCGCTCGTTTTCAAATCGTTGAGTTTGTTATTCAAAAATTCGTTAAAGTTTTACAAAATATGAAACCGATAATAAACCAAATTCTAAATTTCAAATTTGGTCTTCCACATACCGATATTCGTAGGAGGATTACGTCATTCAAAATTCGATGGCTCTAAGTACCGTTGTTTTATCACAGTACCAGAAATACATATACATTTATGCAGATTTTTCATTATTAATTTTTTTCAAATATAATGCAGGACTCTAACATTGGGTGGCAGCAATTCGAAAAGTGAAACCCATATTTATAGTGATTAACCGCAAAATCGCAAATCGAAAACAATAATCGTTCAGAAACAAAGCCCCTTTGTTCTAAACAAAACATTTTTATCTCCAGCGCGCGAGACTGTGTATCGGAAATTCTAAAGATACGCTTATTTTAATATTATTTTGCAATATTGCTCTTGAAATGAATTTTATAGTTTAGGTGCGAAGGACATGATATTTAATAAATTAAGGTAACACACAAAACGTTTAAAAAATGTACCTTTGGGAGTAATATAACTGAAGGCATTCAAGTTTTTTTAAAGTTTTTTTAGTATTACGTAAGTTATTTCGAAGCAGGAGATATGAAAAATAAGCGATGTCCTCGCCGGGACTCTAAACGCGGACCTCTCGATTTCGCGTCGAGCGTGCTGACCACTACACCACGAAGGCATGCTAAGAAGACGGGAGAAATACCCTATATATTCCCCCTTCTCGACTGGGGTTTAGGTTACGCACTCGCCAAATCCTTTTGGTGAAGAATCATCATTCACCACTTTTTACTTCGGGCGCCACTGTAGAGACATTATTTATTTTGGCAGCTGGAGAGATGGCAAATGAGCAATGACCTCGCCGGGACTCGAACCACGGACCTCTCGAATTCGCGTCGAGTGTGCTGACCATTACACTACGAAATCATGCTAAGAAGGCGGGGGAAATATTTTATTAAGTTTTCCTTTTGGATATGTTACTGACAAAGTTTAAAATCCTGCATTCTATAGAATGCCTAGGCATTGTATAGAATGCGTGAAACTAACTGGCTATGTATGAAATAATGCATATTTCCCACACTTTCTAGGTATTCTATAGAATGCTAAATGAGCAACTAGCAAGGTATGATATACATCTCTGATTCGTTTCAAATATAATGTGTGTTTCAATTCATTCAGTATTTCTCACATTCTGTTTCTGATACTTTTTGTGTTTGTTTAAAGGAAACGAGTGACACACTCACATGCAAAAAAGTTCATTAAAAAATTCATGTCTTGTGAGGCCATAAAGATGATGAAATGGATATTTTGTGCACCCTTTCTTTCAAAACTGAAAATGGCTGAGTAAGGTAAAATAAATTCTAAAATCAATCTGGAATTTTTGAACAAGCCCAAAAAGTGAAAATGAATTCCGAAAAACAATTTTCCACTTCTTTCGGAACTACTGTGCTAGTTTTTATTCCTACCTTCGACAAGGGGGGAGATGATTCGCGCAGTTTATTGGCATATTTTATATTCTATAGAATGCCGGCGTTTTATACTTTGCTTTATGAAATATCATGTTCTTCGCACTTAAACCACAAAATTCAATTTAACGGCAATATCGGAAATAATTTCAAAATGAGCGTATCCTTAGAATTTCCGATACACAGTCTCGTGCGCTGCAGATAGATTTTTTTTTTTTTTTTTTTTTTTTTTTTTTTTTGTTAAAGTTTTACAAAATATGAAATAGGTAATTAAACAGATTCCATATTTCGGCTTCTAAATGTCCATATTGATGTGGAAACGTACGTTATTCAAAATTGGATGGCTGTAGGTATCGTTGTTTTAGCATAGTGCGAGAAACATGCATACATTCATGCAGATTCTTCATTATTTAATTTCTTTAAATATAATACAGGTTTCTAGTACTGGGTGGCAACAATTTAAAAAATGAATCAAAACGTTTATAGTGCATCAACGCAAAATACCAAAACGAAATTAATAAAAGTCTTTCTGGGCAAATTGCCCCTTTGAACTAATAAAATTAAAATTAAAATATTTATGCAATATTTTTTCGTATTTAATCATATCCCATCCCAAACAAGATAAATCTCGGTTAAAAAAAGTGTTATACAGTTAAAAACAAAGACTTTACGTTCTCTTATTTTATATAAAGGTACTAGACGCTACGCGGCCAGCCTTCGCCCGACTTTTAAATGTACCAGAAAAATGCCTAAAGGGAACACCCAACATTAAGTTTAAAAACTGCACAGAATTTTACCCCGCAGAGCAACGATTTTATCAAAAAAACAAACAACAACAACAACAACAACAAAAAAAAAAAAAAAAAAAAAAAAAAAAAAAAAAAAAAAAACCAAATTTTAGTACAAATGTATTATTGTTACGAAATGTACAGGCGCGATGAGATAGCTTCCCAGCAAAGCAGTTTTAGGGTTGCCGTAAAATGGCAAGGGAAAGCAGGTTTGCCATATTTGGCGAGAAATCGCCCATTTGGCGACGAAATCGGCGATATACTATGGACGGATGGAGAACCTTCTAGAACGAATTCTTAGCCGGTTTAGCCCAGAATGTTCTCAAACACTAGCCGAAAGCTATATAAATCCTGCTGGTCCGCAGTCAGTGAGTGTGTGTGCCTCGTCTAGCGAGCTGATAGGGAGTCATTCAGCGAGTGTCTCGAAGTCTAGCGCCGAGGTGGTCGTCGAGTGCATCGAGAGAGTCTTTTAGTGCATCGTCGAGTTTTGTCTTAGACTGTCCTGAGTCGAGAGCTATTCTCGTCGAGTATCGTCGAGTGCATCGCGTGGAGAGTCTCGAGAGTACGTGGAGTTCCGAGAACGACCAAGCAGAGTTGGGAGGTGTACTCGGGTGCTTTGCAGTGAAGCTGTCTCCACCGTTATTGCCTGACAGTATGAAGGCTGGGTCGCTGATCGTGTCAGTGTGTTTATAGTAGTTCATCGACGACTGTAAACGTGTTTTGGAGATGTCCTGACAATACTGGCCAATAAAGTGCGTTTCGATACTTCATCAAGTAGTGTCGTCGTTATTCGTTCCAAATCCATACGAACCCCGTACGAACTTGAAGAAAAGAAAAACGTAACAACTGGTGTCAAAAGTGGGATAAAAAACGTAACATTATATATAAAGAAAATTACAATGAAATATGCAATATCCCTTAACGCAAATATTAATTATCTTAATAAATAAAAACCAACTTCTCGTTGCAAAATCTTCAGAATTTAAATGGTATAAAGGAAGTTAAAAACTTTGTTTCCTGAAAAAAATCATGCAAAACTTTTTATATAATTAAAACATAATATAAAAATAATTTCAATGAAATAAGCAATGAATCTTATATTTTCAAGAGAAAACAGTCGGCAGTCCAGTATCCAAAGCAATGAATGAAGAACTGTTGACAAAACGACATTTCTAAAAGAATGAAACTATCATCAGAAATCAGTAACCAAACAAAATTGTGTTTTGTGGGTGACATAATTCAAAATATACAAACCTCTTTGCCATTAGTTAATAAAGAGAGAGAGAGAAAAAAGGAAATTCTTTCTGTTCTGCCTCGCGAGACACATGCACGTCAGAATAAGAAGATTGCGATGTGCGTGTTGCATGTATAGTTAATAATATTTTATTTCATATTTTCAGCAGTCCAGTATCCAAAGCACTAAATGAAAAACTGTTGCCGAAAACCACATTTCTAAAAGAAAGAAAATATTCAAAATGATGCAATTTCATCAAAAAAGATAACAATTTTAAAAATGTGATTCGAATTTTGAAAAAATCGCTTCGAGGTGCACTGGGTCTTGTCTAGATGCACCTAGGTACCAAATTTCGTAGTCCTGGGTCTATTAGTTTACGCGCAAATACGAACGAAAGACACACACAGACAGACATTTTCTTTGATCATATGTAGAGATAGACTGTGGCCCAAATGAGATGAGATGTTTTTCGATCGAGCTCAACTGGGAACAAACTGTAAAGCTGTTTTGGAACGAAATGAAACTGAATTTTCCTTCTAGAATTATTTTGAATACCTGAATAAACATCCGTCTGTTCGAATGACAATTCTTCTCCCTCACCAGTTCGAAAAAGCATTGTACCTCTATTCTAAACAGACCCCTTTTTATGCCTTTAGAAAGAAGGAAGCAAAAAGACTCTCAAAATCATATACGAGAGCAAAATTCCTGTACGACGCGGATGATTATATTGCCTTGTTGTAGTTGTGCCATTTTGTTTATTGTTGGTGCCCCACTGCTAGTAGTAGTGGCTATTAAATCTTCTTTTTCTTTTGCAGGGTCACTACGAAGATTTGCCTGTGGGAAATATGGACAGACTTGGGGTAAGTGATTATTATTACCAGTGGTTTGGAAAATTGTGTGTTGTGTGATATGAGAAGTGGCGCATTTCTGGAAACCTTTTGTTTGACTCCGGCGATTGAAAAGAGAGTTTCCCCGCTCAGCGAAGATGGTAGAAATTCATGAGCGCGTTAACTGCGTTTCTATTTAGTAAATAAAAGGTTCTATTAGACCCCCCACACGTTCGGGCTTAAGTAGAAGTTACTATCGCTGCATCTCTCTTTTTCGGATTTTATTTTTGTCTCTTTTTATTTCTTTGTTTACGTATGAGACTTAGGTAAAAGAGTGCTAAACGAATGTATTGTATATGAAAGTGCTTGATGATATTTGTCTTTCATTCAGTGAAACAATTCAATAAAAGCTTATAATCAAGCTGTAATAGAGTTAAAAAGAAAAATTGGTGTGGGCACAGCATGATTTCCTTGTACAGTATATTAAATTATACCCATTGTTGCTGCATTTTATTTAAACTTATTTCCGCGAATTTCATTAGATATATTTCTCATTCAATTAATTCAATTCTCACTTCGCGGCAAAGCAAAAGTACCTAAAAACTCAAAACACCTTCGTTAAAAATTGCAAAATACAGAAAAATGGGAAATACAAAACACAGTTAAAACCACTAAAAAAATACCATAAAATTTTAAGTTTGTGCACAAAAACAAGCCATTTTGCCAATGGGCAGGGAGACCAAATTTTTGGTGCACAAAATTACCTTTAGTAATTAATTTATCTCTACTGGGTAAAAAGACACTGCCGTTGGCGCACCAACTGACTTAATTCACTATTCTACTAAGAGTTTCAAATGTAAACAAATGGCGGCTTCCTTAGGCTTAGCAAACACTTAAACTTTTAAAATGTTGATATATCTGTAACTATTGCGTGCAGATTAACTAAAAGTATTAAAACCTTAACCGGAGCATAACAACATAATTCAACCACTTTGAAAGCAAAAAACTCACAATTTTCCCACTTATAAAAATCTTACCTCTCCGAGCCGGGTAACAGATATGAAAATACAAATACACACAGACACATATATATGTTTGGTGTGGCCGATTGCAACGAAAAGGGGGAGGTGCAAAACTGCGTGTAATAGCAGTCCCATATGAAATTTCAACGTTCTGCGGCTATTCGTTTCTGAGTTATGCGACATACATACGTACGTATAGACGTCATAAAAAACCCCTCTGAATCCATTTTAAATCTTTTTAACCATCCGTTTTAGAAAAAAGAGTCCTTTATACTGGTAGTACGTATAGATGTGCAAAAATATCATTTAAATGGTTTCAAAACCGGCCAAAATGGATATTTTTGGTGAAATATGATCCCCGAAAATTTTCGCGATTGCAATACTTCTTTTACTTCATGCAAAGTAGTAAAAACAGGTGTCACAAAATGGCGAATAAAACACACAGAAAACTGTAACAAAATTAAGCTGCTTCAGATATAACAAGGGGAACATTCTAAGGAACTAAATACAGTACAAAGTCCGTAATCCGGACGTCCATTATCCGGAATGATCTATAATCCGGACTTCAAAGCCACAAACTTTACGCATGCGTGCGTTGAGAGAAATGTTTAATAAAGTAAACAAATAAATACTAAGTTTTTTTTTGTTTTGTTTTTGTTTTTGTTTGTTTGTTTGTAAAATGTGATACCCTTTAAATCATAATTGCTCTTTATTTCATAAATTACGGTTTCATATTTTTAATTGTATAATTTCTGCATGCCATCTTACCAGACTTAAATTGATGATCTATAATCCGGAAAAACCCTTACCCCGGAATCGCCGAAGTCCCGACAAGTCCGGATTACAGACTTTGTACTGTAATAATTAGCTTTGGTGGTGGTACAGCTATTAAGCAAGATGTTCGCAGAGCATGGCAAGAGAAGCAAATAGGGGGGATAAGAACAAAGTTGAGCCCAGATTGGAAAAGTTACGTTTCCCAAAATGAGTTAATTTCAGTTTGCTTTATTAAGACTGGATAATACACTATCCTCCTAAATATTATGGAAAAGCATGTTTTTTCGTGTTTAATTTGAGAATGATGCAACATAGAAATAAGAAATTTACAGAACATGTTCAGTAAACTGTTCTTTAATGAATGCGACATAGAATGTTTTTAAAGTTCAACACAAACATGAATTACAACAAAAAATTGCACTCTTGGCAGAGAAATTCAGTCTTGGAGGAACAGTTTTTGAAGAAGAATGTAGTAGTAACATTACAAAAATGGGTTCTGATAAGGAATATGTCCATCAATAGCAGCAGTACATTGGCCGCAGCGACTTCCCATGTTGTCAATTAAGCTGTCGGTCAGTGAAATAAGAAGCAACGACCAGACACGGAGTACTCCTTGTTTGAGCTCATCTAACGAGAACCTTGGAGGACGACTTAAAGCAGCAACCTGCCTTCCAAGGCAGTCCCATAAACGCTGTATCGGTTTCTGGTCTGGGGATTGAACTGGCCATTTCATCCACTCCATACTGTGACCCTCAAGATGTTCTTCAGCAATCCAAATTCGGTCCAGTCGCACATTGTCGTCCATCAGAAAAAAATCGAGGACCAATAACAGCGACATATGGACGGACATATTGATCACGGATCTCGTTTGGATATCTCATAACGGTCAAACTTCCTCCATGGAATACATGCAGGTTAGTGTGTGACCACCGGAGAACCCAACCGAAACCATTATTCCACCATCTCTGTAGCTCTGTCTTTCCACAATGTGGGATTGGCTGTATCTGGTGAGTTGTTCTCTCTAGATCAGCTGACGACCTGAATCATTCTCCAGTGTGAACTTGGACTCGTCTGTGAAAAAAACAGGCGCTCATTGTTGGCTGGTGCAGAAGTTCTCTTGCCCAACATAAACGGGCACCTCTGTGTCCTCGGGCCAGAGGGACGCAAACAGTTGGTTGTCTTGCAGACCTGTATTGTGCAGGCGTCTGCGCACTGTATTGGCTGACATTCTTGTTCTTGTCGTTGCCACTAAATATAATGTGCCATGAAATGAGTCACAGTAATGTTGCTCCTCCTTCGGGCTGAAAGAGGTAAATGATTGTATCCGGCAGATATTACTCTAAGTCTGCTTGGAACATGTCTTCTAGACACAGAATCGTCGGATTCAAACTGATTCCATAGTCGGTGAACAGCACAACCAGAGACATTGAGACGTCTAGCAGCATCAGCTTGTGACATCCCCATTTCCATCCATCCGATCGCCCGCCACCTCAACGAATCGGGCAAACGACTTCTCCTGGACATTGATAGACTCTGGATGTTGTCCACGAAACTGTAATAAGAACTGAAGATCGTGGGGAAAATAACAATTTTTGCACTTTTTCTCCAACTCCTATTTAAGTATTCGTTTCTATAAAGTAAAAATGGATAGCTGTGGTTTTTGCAGTTATTTTCTCAAACTTCGTTAGTGTCATACATATACATACACTGTAAATTGTTACTGATATTTTTGCAATGGCGAGCTTTGAAAAACATGCTGTTCTTTAACTTTTGGATGGCAGTGTATATAAGCTTCAAAAATTATTATTGGCTGAAGCGCGTTGGCCGTTAGCATTATATAAAAATCATATGACATGTATTAATTCGGAAATGACGCGATTCACTGCAGTTTATTTTAAGCAGTTATAATTTTTAAGACAGAAAATGAAAATAGCCGAATTAAAATGGATATTTAGGGGACTATTGCAAATTACAGTTTTGCCTTACGTATCTTTTATCTTGCTTGTATTTAAACTAGATATATAGCATTGAATAATCTACCTCTGAGGAAAAAATATTAGTTGAAACAATTAATGCGACAGCAAGGACCTTGCAAAATAAGCGGAGGCTGAAAAACCTTTTCGCATGTGGCAAAATTTAAACAAAGAAATGAATTAATAAATGTGTAGAGACATTAGGTGTTTTTGGAAGCAGCCAAGAAACATGAAAAATGAGATACGCCTTCACCGGGAATCGAACCATGGACCTCTGGAATACGCGCCCAGCGTGCAGACCACCACACCACTAAGGCACACTGAGAAGGCGGGAGACATACCCTATATACTCCCCCTTTTAAAGGGCGACTGGGGTTTCTAGGGGACCCAGTCGCTAAATCCCGGATGTGGAGAATCGTCATCCACCACTTATCTAACACAAGTTTCTGTCTATTCTAACAGCGATTCTTAACAGTCTTTTGATTGCTTCTTTGCTTAATTTTAAGTAGTTCCTAACAGGATACTCTTTCCCCGTACAACAACATCCAAGCTTATATGTAGACTATATGAGGCTCTTAGCCGTCTATTCGGCTGCGTTCCCGGAGCAGGATGGAGCAGAGAGTAGATGGTTTTCTGCCAGGAAGATAACACACTGTGAGGCTAAGGCCAGGTCAGTGGTCTTCCTTGGTGGCGCTCACTCACTCACCCTTTTAGTTCGGGCGCCACTGTAGAGACATTAGGTATTTTTTGGAAGCAGGAGAGATGAAAAATGAGCAACGCCCTCGCTGGGAATCGAACCATGGACCTCGAATACGCGCCCAGCGTGCAGACCACTACACTACGGAGGCATGCTAAGAAGGCGGGAGAAACACCTTATAAATGATTCAACGAAAATTAATTGCTCTGAAACATACGTAACTGTTATTACTGATATCGTGTATTGAAATTGTTGCAAACGAATTTTCTTGAATTTTAATTGTTTCTGCGATAAACAGATTGTTAGAAAGCTTTGTTTTTTTATTTCAGAGACCACCCTCTCAGTCTTTAAATTACGGTTCAGTAGGTGATGACGTTCGATCTCCTTGCGGATCTACGGGTACCCCTTGTCCGTCATCCCAACAACCGTCATCGCAACAAAGCACAGACAACAACAGTGAAGCTGGTAAGTGCTGAATTGTGGAAAATATCTGTTGAGAATTTATAATTTCATACTTAAATTAAAATGATAGCTTAAACGCTATCAATCACAGATATTAATTTTTTTTATTCTAAATTTAGTTTGCATAAAATGATTTTTCGAACAAGGAAAGAGAGAATTAGTGGGAAATGACAGCGGATGAAACGGCACTGTTTCAAGTTAGGGAGGAAATGGAAAAAGACGAAATGGCTCCATTTTGAACCATGGAGGAAATGAGAAAAGACGAAATGGCGCTATTTCGAACTGGGAAACGACGAAACGGCACTCTATTTTGAGCTGGGAAGGAAATGGGGAAAGACGACACTATTTCGAGCTAGGGAGGAAATGGGAAAAGATGAAACAGTGCTGTTTTAAGCTGCGGAGGAAATGGGAAAAGACGAAATGGCATTATTTCGAGCTAGGGGGGAAAAAGACGAAATGGCATTACTTTAAGCTAGGGAGGAAATGGGAAAAGACGAAATGGCATGTGCAAGGGGACAACTGTCCGCTTTTTGTAAACCCCGTAAACAACTCAGGTTCGATCGTAAATGAATGAGCTGACTGACTTCATGGTCGTTTTCTCGTGCTCTACCCCATCTGAATACTGGCAAAGTGTTCTATAAATATAAAATTGCCTTGATTTTGGAATTATCATGTGTGAATTTTTTATAGCATAGTTATCTGTACCATAATCTGGAAGATAAAGATCTCATGTTACGAGTATTGGCAACACGTTTGTCAGAATTCACGTTCTGCAGTACGCATTGGTCTCAAAGTCACGGTCTGATTTACGAAAGCATTTAAGGTATTTCTCCACTGCCAGATCGTAATATAATACTTAAAACTTCTATACGCTCAATCGATCTTTCTATAATTAAGCTGTAGAGCATTAGGTTACTTGGAAGCAGGACATGCGAAAAATGAACATTGCCCTCCCTGGGACTCGAACCACGGACCTCTCGAATACGCGCCGAGTGTGTTGACCACTACACCACGAACGCATGCTAAGAACGCGGGAGGAATACCTTATAAAGCTACTTCTATTATATGCCTAGATCGTTCTGTAATACTTAAAACGTGTAGTATGTAAAAAAGTTTTTTTCCCCTATATCTTAAAGCTTTTGAACCGTATTAAAAAAATTCGCTGCCCCCAAGGACGATTTTGACAAGTGGGGACATAGGTTTTAGAAATTAATTGATAATTATAAATTAATATCAAATTGCATGTAAATATGTATAATTATATAATAAGAGAAAGTTTTTCAAAGCGTCTGGCGTCACATATTTTTGAACCACTGCTCTGCTGCATACATAAATAAAAGAAAAAATAGTAATAATTTTAAAAAAAAATCTGAAAGCCTTCAGATTTTATACTACGCCCAAAGCGGCGTTTTTTCAACGTTTCGTGTGTTACCTTATTTATAAAATATCATGTTCTTCTTCGCACTTAAACCATAATATTCAATTCAATAACAATATCGCAAAATAATTGAAAAAGAGCATATCTTTAAAATTTCCGATACACAGTCTCGCAAGCTAGAGCTTTTTTTTTTTTTTTTTTTTCCGTACAGTGTTGACATTCCTCGCTTTGAAATCGTTGAGTTTTTTCATCAAAACTCATAAATGCTTTACAAAATATGAAATATGAAGAGTCTATCTGTCTGTGTGTGTCTTTTGTTCGTGCTGTGCGTAAGCTAAATAGATCCAAGGCTATGAAATTTGGTACATAGGTGCATTTAGACAAGAGCTAGTGCATCTCCAAGCTATTTTTTTTTTTTTTTTTTTCAAAATTCGAATCAGGTTTTTTTTATATTTTATCTTTTTTCATGAAATTGCATCATTTTGAATAGTTTCATTCTTTTAGAAATGCGGTTTTTGGCATCAGTTTTTAATTTAGTGCTTTCGATACTGGACTACTGACTATTGAAAATATGAGATAAAATACTATTAATAATACACGCAACACGCACATCGCAATCTTCTTATTCTGACGCGCATGTGTCTCGCGAGGCACAACAGAAAGAATTTCCTTTTTTTTCTCTCTCTCTTTATTAACTAATGGCAAAGAGGTTTGTATATTTTGAATTATGTCAGCCACAAAGCACAATTTTGATGAGTTATTGCTTTCTGATGATAGTTTCATTCTTTCGGAAATGTCGTTTTGTCAACAGTTTTTCATTCCTTGCTTTGGATATTGGACTGCTGACTGTTTTCTCTTGAAAATATGAGATTGCTCATTTCATTGTAATTTTGTTATATCATGTTTTAATTATGTATAATTTTAACTATATAAAAAGCTTTGCCGGACTTTTTTTAAGAAGCAAAGTTCTTTACTTCCTTTACACCATTTGAATTCTTAATATTTTGCAACGGGAAGTTGGTTAGTTTATTTATTAGGATAATTAATATTTGTGTTAAGGGATATTGCTTATTTCATTGTAATTTTTTTACATATAATACATTTTTATTGATATTTCTTTTTTTGTCGTAGTTAGTTTTTTTTAGTTAGTTAGTTGTTCTGCAGAGTCAAATTTTGTGCAGTTTTAAAATTTAATGTTTGGTATTCCCTTTAGGCATTTTTCTGATACATTTAAAAGCCAGATGAACGCAGGCCGCGTAGCTGCTAGTCGATAATAAAACAAATTCCAAAGTAGGGCTTCCAGATGCCCATATTCGGTGGAAGATTACGTCATTCAAAATTGGATGGCTCTAGGTACTGCATACATTTGTGTAGATTTTTCATTATTTAATTTCTTTAAATTTAATACAGAGCGATAATGTTTACTGGCAACAATTTGAAAAGTGATTCAGGCTTTTTAAGTTCTCGATGCAAAATGCAAAACGAAATTAATAGCCCTTCTGGGACAACGCCCTTTGGGCTAATTAGTGGGTGATCACTATATGTATTGTCCGTTGCATCGTTACCGTGATTGATCCATAGCCGAAAGTTTTGATGAAATGTTCAAAGACTCTCTGATAAGATGGGTACCTGGGGGGGGGGGAAAGGGAATAAAAAAATTCTCATTTCTGGTCATAAAAGAAGTGAAAAATTTCCAATTTCGAAACATGGCAGTTAGATGAGTGCCTTCCAAACTAGACGAATCCAATCACATTTCTTAACAAATAAAACGAGATCTAATTTCAGGCGAAAGTGGTCGGGGCGGAACGGTGTGTCCATAATCAGACATTCGGACGTTCCGCCAAACTTGAAATTCGTTCGTGCGTAGCAGCGTCCTTGGTTTGAACCAGTTCTTTTTTTTTTTTTTTTCCCTTTTATCTATTTTACCCTTCTTTAGCCCTTTCGGACTCTTTTCATCTCCTTTTTTTTTTTTAAATTCTTGTTTACTTAAATGATACAACTCGTTACTTTTTTAGTGTTATGTTCCTTTTTAAATTTTTGTTATTTTTACAGGAATAAGTTGTTGTTTCTATTATAACTATTATCGATTGGATGCGATGTGCTTTTGTTATTTGGTTACTAGCAGTTGCGTGGTCATCCTTAGTTTGGCTTTTAAATGCCAAACGTTAAATTTAAAAACTGCGCAGAATTTGACTCTGCAGAACAACTTCATAAAAATAAATAAATAAATAAAAACAAATTTATTACATATTACAAAATTACAGTGAAATAAGCAATATCCCTTAATACAAATATTAATAATCTTCATAAATAAATTAACCATCTTCCCGTTGCAAAATCTTAATTTAAATGGTATAAATGAAGTTAAGAACTTTGTTTCCTAAAAAAAGAATCATGCAAAGATTTTTATATAATTAAAATTATATATCATTAAAAAAAATATAAAAAAATTTAACAAGAAGCAATAAATCTCATATTTTCAAGAGAAAAGTCAGAAGTCCAAAATCCAAAGCAACGAATTAAAAACTGTTACCAAAACCACATCTCTAAAAGAAAGAAACTATCATCAGAAATCAATAACCGATCAAAATTGTGCTTTGTGGATGACATAATTCAAAATATACAAACCTGTTTGCCATTAGTTAATCAAGAGAGAGGGGGGGAAAGAAATTCTTTGTATTGTGTATTTTGAATTGAATTTGTATTGTGTTGTGCCTCGCGAGACACTTGCGTGTCAGAATAAGAAGTTTGCGATCTGCGTGTCCAAAAATGAAAAGAGTGAAATAAACAGCGTGAAATAAGCAATATTTTATAACATATTTCCAACAGTCAGTAGTCCAGTACACAAAGCACTAATGAAAAACTGCTGCCAAAAGCACATTTCTAAAAGAATGAAACTATTCAAAATGATGCAATTTCATCCAAAAAGATAAAATAGGAAAAAAAAAAAAAAAAACTGATTTGAATTTTGAAAAAAGTGCTTCCAGGTGCACTGGCTCTTCTCTAAGAGCATCTATATACCAAATTTCGTAGTCCTGGGTATATTAGTTTAACGCCCACCACGAACGAAAGAGACATAGACTCTTTATTTTATTACACTGCTGGCCACCCAAATTGCAACACCAAGAAAGACGAGAATATCACAACAAAATTTATTTAGTAGATAACATGTTGACCAAGTATCAAATGAAAAAATTTATACTTTTGTGAAGTGTGGTTCCTTCCAGAATCAGTAGCCAGAGTAGCCGCCATTGTTGGAGATCACGGCTGCCACACGCCTCGGCATTGATTCAAAGAGAGTTTGGATGCATTCTTGGGTACAGCAGCTTCCACGCGTTGCCAAAATTGATCCGGTGTGGCAGCTTGGGATGTAATCTGGGTCAATCGTTCAGCAACCATGGACCACGTTTTCTATCGGCGAAAGATCCGGAGAGCGAGCCGGCCAAGGAAGCAATTCAATATGCCGATTGACGAAGAATCCTTGTATAGTGCGTGCCACGTGTGGTCGCCCATTATCCTGTTGAAATATGGCTGCGGGCAAGCCCTGAAGGTAAGGAAGGACAACTGGCTCCAACACCTCTCAGATGTAGCGCTGGCTGTTTAAAGTACCGGCAATGCGTATTAG